ATGTTTAATCACAAGAAAATCCATATGTATACCAGAGAACGAAAGAATGAGAGAAGTATGATCGATTTGTTCCTGGTGGATGACCGACTGCGAAAACAGGTGATGGATACGCGAGTGTTCAGGGGTGCTGACCTGGGAACGGATCACTATCTAGTGATTACTAGATTTAGGGGTCTGTTCGCGGGTTGGCGCTACCGGACGGCAGTAACAGAACCACAGTCGGTCTGTCGCATCCGAAGCTGGAAGCTTCAGGAAGCGGATACTAGGGACAAATATCATGCGAGGGTAGCCGAAAAGCTTGACACCATCGATGGCAGAAAAGAATGTGTAGAAAGAACATGGCAGAACCTTAGGGATGGAATGGTAAGTGCAGCGGAAGAAGTGTGTGGAACAATAAAAAGAGGCAGTAGTAAAAGAAGAGATGCATGGTGGAATGACGAAGTGAACGAAGCTGTAAAGAAGAAGAAGAAAGCATGGTTAGACTACTTGGCCTCTAGTAATGATAAGGATATGAGAGAGAAGATGAAAGAAAGATATAGCCTGCAGAAAGTTCACACAAAAGCACTGATTGAGGAAGTGCGTGAAAGGTGTAGAATGGAAGCGGACGAAAGGTTGTCGCACAACTTTAAGGAGAACTCCAAACTCTTCTGGAAAGAAGTTGGAAGGGCCCGAAGTGGTGCGACGGCCTTAAGAATGAACAAAGTGCTTTCGAGAACTAATGACGTCCTATCAGAAAAATCGGACGTCATGCAGCGATGGCGCGAATTTTATAGAGAAATGTATGCGTGTGATGATCTTAGTGAGGGATCCGGGGATGACGCCGTGACTGGTACGCCAGACCCGGACCTCGATGACACTGAGGTCATCAGTATGAAAGAGATTGAACGTGCGATTCGAAGTTTGAAATGTGGTAAGGCTGCGGGACTAGACAGAGTTACTGCTGAAATGGTCAAGTATGGTGGGCCTCGCGTCTGGGACAGCTTTCGTCTGCTGTGTAATTTGTGCTGGCGGACGGAGGATGACCCGGATGATTGGCGATCCGCAGTCATTGTGCCTTTATATAAAGGTAAAGGTTCACATTTTGAATGCCGGTGCTATCGGGCGATCAGCTTGACCAGTTTAGCAAGTAAAGTTTACTCGAAGGTTTTGACACGTAGGATGCAAGAGAAATCGGAAAGATTTCTATGGGAGGCACAATGCGGATTTAGACCTGGAAGAGGATGCACGGATCAAATGTTTTCTCTCCGCATGATCACGGAAAAGATTTTCTGTGCTTTTGTGGATCTTGAGAAAGCATTTGATAAGGTTGTAAGGAAGAAAATGTGGGAACTGTTGCCGGGGTATGGTGTGGATGGTCAATTGCTAAGGGCTGTGCAGTCTCTTTACTGTGACTGTAAAGCCTGTGTGCGGGTAGGGCATGACCTGTCACCCATGTTTAACGTCCAAACGGGCGTAAAGCAGGGTTGTGTCATGTCTTCCTGGCTGTTCATACTGTATCTCGACAGCTGTTTACAGAAGCTGAAAGATAGTTGTTTGGGTGTGAAATTGGGTGACATAAAAGTAAATTGTCTGCTGTATGCTGATGATGCAGTGCTTATTGCACCATCAGAGGCAGAACTGCAGGCATTAGTCACGTGTATGAAAGAGGAATGTGAAATTAAAGGTCTCCGTTTGAATGCTAATAAAACTAAGGTTCTGGTATTTGAAAGGGACGAAGAGAGAACGAAGTGTGAAATATGGGTAAATCAGGAATGTCTAGAACAGGTAAATGAAATTGTATACTTGGGGAGTGCTTTTAGCCGGGATGGAAGATGTGATTTAGATGTGGACAGGCGTGTCGCTGCCGGGAACAAAGTGCCCTGGCTGCGTTAGTCAAAAGGCAAGGCGTAGCGAAGAGTGCAAGCCTTGCAATACATAACGCAGTGTTGGTACCGACTTTGTTATATGGCAGCGAAACCTGGGTATGCCAGAAGAAGCATAAAAGTAAGTTGAATGCAGTGGAGATGCGATCTCTTCGTAAAATGTGCGGCGTTACCATGGCCGACCGAAAGCGAAACGAAGAGATTCGCAATATGGCAGGTTTGAAAGATGACCTTATCACAAAAATTGATAAGGGCGTGCTTCGGTGGTTTGGGCACGTTGAGCGAATGAGTGAAGACCGAATGGTGAAGAAAATATATAGCGCGAAAGTTAATATTAAAAGGTGTCGAGGTAGACCGAGACTAACTTTCGAAGACCATGTGAGCAAATTGCTCGAAGAGGGTAGGGTCAAAAGTACTCGGATACTTAGACTTGCATGCATGAAGAAGATAATGAATCTGAAAGAAGCGAAAGAGGTATGTAAGGATCGTGACACTTGGCGATCTGTTCTCTCTGTCAGGGATTGTGCGTGAAGATAAGTAAGTAAAAATTATAACTTTATACAATTAGTGTTCAATATAAAATTATATTCGGTATAGACTGTAATTATTAAATGCAACATATTTTTTTAAATATTAATGACATTTGTCAGTGGATTAAATTTGCTTTAATAAAGTTGGTGATGATTTGAAATAAGAATAAAATTCTGCTCAAGTTTTTTTATTGTTACCTTTGTTAACAACATCGCCTTTAGAACTGGAACCGTAAGTTTTTCTTTCAGACGTCCACAATTTATTCAAAATAAAAAAATACTCTTTCTACTGGAAGCATTTGTACCAGGGAGACATAAAATATATTTGATTAAAAAAATATGTTGAAGATTGTTGACTTTGAATACTTCCATCCAACGAGTTACGGGACAATTTTGTGTCCCAGAGTTTTGTTTGGGGACAATGGGACAGGTGACCGAGAAAAGGGACAGTCCCGTTCAAAACGGGACGTATGGTCACTTTAGCTATAACCTGGCGACGGCTCTGTGGCGCAGTGGCTTAGCAATCAGTTGTTGCGCTAGGGGCCGCGGGCTCGAATCCCGCACGGAACAAGTATTTGAATGGCCTACAAATAATTGTTCCGGGTCTGGATGTTTGTCCTTGTGCAATTTATGTTTGTAAACTGCCTCCACGACACAGGAGAAAATCCTAATGTGGGGGTAACGTTTGTTTACAATTGACATTGAAAGATTGAACCCTTATACTTCTTGTTGATTTTTGTATTACCTTTATTAAAGTTACCCTTTTGTATAAATAAATATAATTACGTATGTAGAAATAAAATTGATTTTCATCCTCATCAATCATTGGGGTGAAGATAATGTCTGCCAGCATAAGTAATAAGCAGGCTAAGTTACAAGGTGCTCAGTTCAAAAATTAGTAGGTAGGTATGTTACTTTTCAATACGTGACACGTAAAAATTAACAATAATCAAAAACACATCTGCGAAACATCCTATTTATTTATTTATTTTTTATTGCACCAAATATTTGTACAAAAGGCGAGCTATCTATTTATTTACCTATAGTGAATAGGTATCTTTGAAACTCACAATTTTCAATGCTTCATTTTTAATATATAATTAATTATAAAATTTCATAATTATATAATATATGAAAATACTTAATTCTAATATAATGCAACTAATATATACCGAATAAAAAAATTAAAATACATTTATCGTTGTACGCTGTGTGTATTTCCATAAAATAGTTTATTGATGTTGAAAAAATAATACTACGTTCGTACAATAGGTGGCGTCTTACATATTTCTTACGCAATAATATATTGTAGCGAGCGGCGCGCCTGTCAAATGCTCAAGGTCGTTCGCATGGAGTAGCCCCACAATGCTTATAAAATTTGCGGAAGTGCAAACAATAAGAAGATACAGTTTTCTGTTCTATTTTCTGATGAACGGTATGGCAACGCATAAAATACGAACAAACAATAATTAATTTTTGTTTTCAACTCGAGTAACAAAATCGTTTTCAGTGCCTAGAAGATTGCGATGAAGTTGAGGATTTGAACGACAAGTACGTAGAAACTGTCCATGCGGTCGGAGCTAAGTTTAGCAGGACCCGCCGCAGAAGAAAACAAAAACTCTCTGATCACACTCTCAATCTCATGCCTGTTAGATGGGAAATGTAGCTGCAGTCTTCAGTAGATTTGACAGCATACAGGCAACTGAACAGACAGATCTCCAAATTCATGCGGCGAGACTTACGCAAATTCAATACAACTCGTATGTAAAGGGTGCACTGGCGCGATAAAACGGTAGGAAAACTCGAAAACCAAAAATTCGTTAAAACCGTTTATTTTAAATTACACAACGTAGGTACACGAACAAAGCATATGAGAGAGAGCGAAGGTACGTGTGTCGCGAGCGATAGTAAAGGCTGACTGACTGCGTCACCGTTCGATTTCTACCTAACATTTAACATAATATTTAAAACATATGAGATGATTGGGCCATCATACCCGCCACCTTAAGCTAATACAAATTTGTATAACGATTTTTGAGCACGTCGCTAACACACCCCACCCCAGTGCTGGCTCAGCACTACTCAGATAAAGGAATTCTAGCGACGCGCGCCGCTGAACGTCTAAGCGTCCCTGATTTGGTTCTGATTTCAACCAACCTGACCCGGCCGTCCTTGCCTGGAAACACCTTTTCCACGATCGCCCTCTGCCACACGTTGCGTGGCGCTCCAGGGTCCACGACCAGCACGAGATCACCTACCTTTAGCGGTTCGCGCTCCTCATTCCACTTCCTTCTAGGTATCAGCTCCGGTAGGTACTCTGTTACCCATCTGCGCCAATACATATCAGCTAAGCGTTGACTCTTTCGCCACTGTTTTCGTAGGTACAGGTCAGAGTCATCAAAGACACCTGCAGCAGGTAAGTTGGAGCTCTTACCCAGCAGAAAATGGTTTGGCGTCAACGACTCGTCGCTACCAGGTTCTACAGACACATGAGTAAGGGGGCGGCTGTTGACTATATTCTCGACTTCAGTCATAAAGGTGGCGAGAACTTCATCTTTGGGGACACGCTCTTTGAGTATAGCCCCAAGAGATACCTTAACGCTACGTATTAAACGCTCCCACGCCCCCCCCCCCCCCAATGGGGGCTCGCCGGTGGGATAAAAGACCATTGTGTCCCATTGTTAGCAGCCTCGTTCTTCAGGGTCTCGTCGTCAAGTTCCTGGATTGACTTCAGTAGCTCCGCATCAGCGCCACGTAGGTTTGTTCCGTTATCGGAGTAAAGGCAGCGTGGCCACCCTCGGCGGGCAGCCATACGCCGGAGGGCCATAATTAGTGAGTCAGTAGTGAGGGAATGCACGATCTCCAGGTGTATAGCCCGAACTGTAAGGCATGTAAATATGACACCGTACCGTTTTTCCCTTCTCCTCCCTACCACCACCTCCATCGGTCCAAATAGGTCCACACCGCAGTGTGTGAAAGCTCGCTGGTGATGCGCCACTCTAGCGGGAGGTAAATCGCCCATCACTGGCATTTCCGGTTTCGCCTTCCTTATTCTGCAGATCATACATCCGGCAGCTACATGTTTAACAGTGGGTCTCATTTTAATGATCCAGTACCTTTATTTTAGGTTATTTACCACTGTCTCCTGGTTTCCGTGAGCAGCTTTTATGTGGAAATGTCTTACCAACAATCGCGTCACTCGATGTCGCCCGTCGAGGATACTCGGGTTTTTTGTCTCGGAAGAGACATCAAGTGCCGCACCAATGCGTCCGCCGCAACGAAGGACGCCGTGCTCGTCCATATAAGGTGACAAGTTGAGAATACGACTGTTGCGGGGCAAACATTTACCTTCTCTAATTGCGCTCACTTCCGTGCCGAAGGCCTTGCTCTGTACCCGCCGGAACAGCAAACGTTTAGCCTGTTCCATTAATTCGCAATCGTCATCGGTACGTTTCCTGCACTTACATATAAATCTAAGAACAGCGGCTGTACTTTTGAGCAACCGCAGCCACGAAGAAAACCGTTCCGGATCGGGAGTAGGCTCGACACTAGGGATGTCCGTAGTAACCACATTTGTTACCAGGTTAACACATTCAGTTGTCTCGACATCAGTGACAGGACGAATGACGTGACGCGGCCACGATGACTCATCGTCACGCAGAAACGTAGGGCCCCCCAACCATACACTCTTAAAAATGGCGTCGTCGTAGGTTTCGCGTGTAGCTATATCCGCAACATTTAATTCAGTAGGCACGTATCGCCATTCTTTACTACTAGTGACCTCATCAATCTCGCCCAACCGGTTTGCTACAAATGTTTTATAATTTCTCGCGTCATTATTAATCCAGTGCAAAACCGTGGTCGAGTCACTCCAAAAGAATCGCTGTAACACGCTCAACTTATGCTCCTTAACAATGGTGTCGGCGAGTCTCGCCGCTAGAAGCGCTGCTTGCAACTCTAGTCGCGGCACAGTCAGTGGTTTTACCGGCGCAACTCGACATTTACTTGCTATAAATGCAACAAACACATTACCATTGCACGTCCACCGCCAATAAGCTACAGCGCACATCGCTTTAGTAGATGCATCGCAAAAAACATGCAGCTGTGTGTTATTGTACTTCGTAGCACTCGTAGCTCGCGCGGTTTCGTAGCTCCCGGTCAGTCGCGTAGAGGCCGTAGCGGGCTGCGCGGGCGTAGGCGGGCCGCGGGGCGCGGGGGAGCACTGACCTGCTACAATATCAGCTGTGTCCGTTGCCATGCGATCACCTGTCTCGCTCGCACCTAGAGGGCTTAGGTAGCACCTAGGAATGCGTACATTACTCATTTCCTTTAGCAAATCGATCCAGGTTTTCCATTTATTAAAAATGCTATTGGGAATCTCGTCGTCCCAGCCAATGTTTGATCGCCAAAGATTTTGAAGCATTATTTTACCTTGTATTGTGAACGGCGACAAGAAACCAAAAATATCGTAAATAGACATAATTACTCGCAGAATAACCCTTTTAGTAGGCACTTGTGCTCCGTTCACTACGTACTCTGGAATGCGCTTGAAGGATAAATCAAACTCCAGCTCGTCTTTAGCGGGAAACCAAATAAGACCGAGCGTTCGTTCTCCTTCACACTGCTGACCCATTTTGAGACTTACCGCCACTGTACCTAAGGTCTCTTTTGGTATGCTGTCCAACACTACTACACTGTTACTATTCCAATTGCATATTTCGAAGCCGCCCTCTTTGTGAATGTAAACAATATCTCTTACCATCTGCGTCGCGGTGGCTTCGTCCGGGAAACTGTCCAGATAGTCGTCCATGTAGTGCTGGTTGCAGATAGCGTCGGCAGCAGCGGGCAGCGACGAAACGAAACGTTCCGCGTTCCTGTTTTTCACGTACTGTGCTATAAATGGGGAACAATTAGCACCGAATATGAGCGAAGTCATGTTAAAAGTTTTGACCGATTGTTCGGGGCGAGGTCTCCACAAAAATCTAAGGGAATTTTGATCCTCGTCCCTTATTTTAATTCTCAGGAACATATCTTTAATGTCCCCGGCTACAGCGACCCTATTCTCTCTAAAACGTACCATAATGCCGAATAGGGACGCGAGTAAGTCGGGACCTTGCAATAGGTAATCATTTAAACATTTTCCGTGACTTTTCGCTGCTGCATCGAAAACGAAACGCAACTTTTTTTTATTAGGATTATCGACCCCAAAGTGTGGTAAATACCACGTTCGCGGTGTGCGCCGAATATCAGTCGACTCTTTAGCGTAATCATTAAGTAAAAGGTGATCCACTTGTTCAGAGTAACGTTTGGCGTAGTCAGGGTTCGCCACCATCTTTTTTTCTACTCCTTTGAACCTGTTGCAAGCGTTAGCGTAGCTATCGGGCAACACGCAGCCTTCATCGCGCCACGGAAGCCCGACGTGCCAGCGGCCCGCCACGAACGTTGCCGAGCGCTCCACCTGAGCGCGCGCGCGCACGTCTTCGCTGTTCTCACGGGGTTTGCTACACACACCTAGGGAATCGAGCATGAATGAGCGCCTTACCTCGTCATGAAGTTCGCGAAGCAAGTCCTCGGCATCACCGGCGGCGGGCGTGGCGGGCCCCGCGCTGCAGCACAGTAGAGGGCTCGGGTGCGAGGCGCGGGTGCCGTGTGGCGGTGCGCGCGCTATTCCATGTAAGGACCAGCCTAGGGTGGTGCGAGTAGCGGACGGCTCATTACGTTTACCGATACACATTTCAATAGGAGCTAACAAATGATGATTATCCTGGCCGATTAGTACATCAGGTTTAATATTATTATTACAAAATATTAAATCATGTTTCAAATTTTTCAAATGAGCATACTGACTACAATCGATTGAATAAAGATTTTGCTCAGGCAATTTTAAATTGTTTACGCTTCGTGCATTAATGGTAGACATATTACAATTATTTTTATCAGACACATTTATAGACAAAACAGTAGAATCAACAATAACATCGCTACCGCTCCACGCTCCGCTCACGCGCATAGTCTCAGTGCGGCCGCGCAGGCCGGCCCGCGCAGCGAGGGAACCGGTTATCAATGTTATTGTTGATCCGTCGTCGAGCAATGCTGTCGTGCTGATTACACCATTAGGTCCGTGTATGTTTATAGGTACTACTTTCAATAACACGTTGTGTGCAGAGTTAATGTGTGTCACGGTAGCAGCTGCGGCTCCGGAAGTGTGGCCGCTGTGGGCCGCGTCGCCGGTGTCGCCGGTGTCGCCGGTGTCGCCCGCGCCGGGCGGGGCGGGGCGCGGCTCTCGACCGGCGTCGCGCGGCTCCCGGCTGGCGTCGCGCGGCTCCCGGCCGGCGTCGCGCACGTAGTGCAGCAGCCGGTGGTGTGCCTCGCCGCAGCCGTCCTTGTCGCAGACGGCTGCGGGACACGTTTCTCGATCGTGGCGCGACACTTAGCACTTGTAACATACGCCGTGGCGTTTAACGTGACGCCACCTGTCTTTGCGCAACGCTTTTTTAAACATTTTGCACTCAGTTAATTTATGTTTTGCGACGTTGCAAAATAAACACTTAATGTCACTGTGCGTTGATTGCACTAATACTGCATGAGGACGACTGGTGATGTTGCTGTAAGGTTTACTCTTGTAGTGCTGCTGAAATCCGACGCTGCGAGCCTCTGTGGCGTGTATGTTCGCTGTAGTCGAAATTTTCACAGCTTCTTGATTTAAAAAATCGCCTAATATATTCAAACGTGATTTCTTTCCTTCCTTTATTATAGCAAAACTATAATCGGACCATTTTGATATTAGTACGGTAGGCATCTTGGATAAAATAATATTTGAAATATGCATTCCTTGCATGTACTCTTCTCGGCCGACGGCGTGCACAGCTGCGATGAAATTTTGAACTTTAACTGAGAACGACACAATGTCTTTGTTGTATTCGTTCGACATAGGTGGTAGTTTCTTCAGGCCCTGGGTAATTTTGCTTAGAATGGTGTCTGCGTTACCGTATAGTAGCTCTAAAGTTTTTATCACTACGTCGGGTGATGTAGCGCTTATCATGAGAGCTGAGACTGCTTCCTTAGCTGGCCCGTGAAGACACTTCCTTAAACGCCATAAATTTTCCTTCGGGCTAAACCCGCACACTTCGGTAGACTCGTCATAAGCCTGCTTGAACTGGAGCCATTCCAGCGAGTCCCCTGAGTAACTAGGTAGGTCCCGGGGGGTACACATGCGACTAAGCAGGTTGTTGTTTGTCCCATTATTTGCAGAGATCGAGGATAGATTCTGTAGTGCGCTCGCGAGCATATGAACCGTTCCGTCACATGGGCCGGCAACGGGTGCCGCCGGCGGACACTGCTTGCACGGCTGATCACCGAACTCTGGAACGTGCAACGGGGGTTCGTGCTCGAGCTGGCTTTGTTCTAACCATTGCTCCACTTTCTTATTCTTGGTGTCGTCGTGCGGGTCACTATGTGGACTGTATATTTCCTCTTTTTCATCCATAAGGTCTGCTAAATCCGCCTGAAACTGCTTATCGATGAGATCCATTTGAATTTTAGCCTTTTCTTTAGCCATCTCTAGTTCCAGTTTCTTTCTCCTGGCCATCAGAGAGGACGAGGTGGACGTTGACTTAGCCCCGGTGCGCGAAGCGGGCGGCTGTTGCAAGCGGTACTCGCGCTTGACGCTGCTACCCGCAACATCATATAGTTGGCTAGCGGTCGGTGACTGTTTATCCTTCTGTGTATTTCCATCAGTTGGCTGAGGCTGCACTTGTAACTGGACTTCCTGATTTTCGTCCTCTTTGCTCTCGAGCTCCTTGCGTATAGTGCTTCGAGTTTTTACCATTTTTGCAGGCGGCGTGCTGAACATTAGATCCGGTTCGAAGACCACTTTGTAAAGGGTGCACTGGCGCGATAAAATGGTAGGAAAACTCGAAAACCCAAAATTCGTTAAAACCGTTTATTTTAAATTACACAACGTAGGTACACGAACAAAGCATATGAGAGAGAGCGAAGGTACGTGTGTCGCGAGCGATAGTAAAGGCTGACTGACTACGTCACCGTTCGATTTCTACCTTAAAA